GACCCACATGAATTCTTTCAATTGTCACACACCAGACCCCAATGCTAAAACATCAATAGTTGGTAAAATTTACTAAATAGTAATGGCAAAGAATATAAAATTTTCAGAAGCTCAAATACTTAGATACAATAAAATTTCATGGCCACTTAAAGGTCACATGATTATCGCGTTACAAATTAGCTAGCTCTAAGCTTGAGTTCAAATTATATCATAGAAAGCAACGAAAATATTCGTATAAACGTTGGCCAGTTACAAATTCTTGTAGGCGCTTACTCTCTGAAACTCAAACAATGATTTCCCTTTCAATCAAAATAGAGATGAATTTCATAATATTATGGCTATTTCTACACATGGTAATACTCGCTAATCCGTGTAGAGGCAGCATTTGGAGTGTTCGATAACCCAAATGCAAGAGTTAACTTTTCATATGACAAACAGTGGATCTAATTACTTCTACATTCTCCTCATCTGCTACCTCTAAACTTCCTTGTGGTTCATATCCAAGAGTCCTTGCTTTATCAGGCCCAATAATTTGTCCACCCTTTTGCATTGTGGATGCTACCGTTCATCAAGCTTATATGAATAAACCTCATCTGTAATGCTAATCCAGTTCAAATCCTTTAATTTTCCGAGTTTATCCCCTCTCATCATTTTTTCTGACCCTTGGAAAATCGTGGCATCCATCATCCACATAGGCTATCTCGTTTGGTCTAACTCCTGCTGATCCCTTAAACAAAATACAATATATGCATTTATTAAAATCACATTTGCACTGGGGCCCACCGAGTTAGGCCAGGGTGACCCTGGGCTTGCACAAAGCACAAACCCCTACCTTTAGTTCAGTGCAGCCTGAATACTCACAAGAACACCGAGCTCAACCCAACTTTCAGATACACATTGCACAAGCTCTTGCCTACAAATAATGGCAGGGTTTAGAAAAATTGGACACATTTCCAATGAAATGACAACTAAAAGTACCTTCTAATACCAATGCAAAGCTTGTAAATTCAATCTTTTTTTGTCGAGTTTACAAATACGTGTTGATATTTAGAATTATCAACCACCAATTCAAGTTTATAGATTAGGCAATGACTCATGCTTACAGGGATTCGAACAAAGCTACTCATGCCTTGGCTAAATGAGGACTTGCTACACAATGAACAGGCTCGTTGAGTGCAAATGATCTACCGCAAATGGTTAGACAAGAAGTGATGCATGACTACCAAGCTCCACTCCACACAAGGAGCTTAGTAGACTCAGTACGCTTAGCATTGTAGTTAACTTAGTAATCGGTTTTTATTTTTCCTTTATATTCTTTGCTTTGTTTCTTCAACCAGCAAAAAAAAAAAAGTTTATAGATATGTGTTGATAAAGTTATGTGACATGAGTAGCAGAACATGGCATACAAGCAAAATAAAAAAAGTTTTCAGAGGCGGTACCCTTTTTTGAAATTATAGGACAAAAAGTACCACATTTTAAAATATTAGTCAAAAAATACACAACACATAACAAATCTCTAAAATACCCCCTTCTATAGAAAGGAACTAATTTCTATATATTTGCCTATACAGTCGAAACATAAGGGATCTCAACTATTACCCATTAAACTCCTTCAATATCGCCAGAACCGTCATTCTTCCAATAATGATGAGAAAACTTCTTTAAATCCTCTTCTTTCTTTTTTCAAAACTTCTTGTTGATCGTTGAAGAAGAAGTAAAAATCATTATAAATAAGTAATGAGTTTTTTGATGGGTTTGCAATAAATAAGTGAAAATCTTGATTTTTATCCATAAAACTCCTTTAATATCGCCAAAAACCTCCATTCTTCTAATGTTTTATAGGAAAATTTCCCTAAAACCTCATTTCTTTTAAATTTCCTGTTGATCGCTGAAGAAGTGAAAATCACTGTGAATAAATGATGGATTTTTTTATGGGTGCAATATAACATTTATGTTTATATCAGTGTGACTTTTGGATGGTAACCGTGTGAATTTTAGTTGCTATCAATGTGAATTTTGGCTAATAACAGTGTAAATTTTGATAGGTTTTTTATATTGAAGTATTTTTACGCAAATAAGTATGAAATGGTGTATCTTTTCATAATTTTTTCCTTATATGAATTTATTATTTATGACATTTACGTTGATATTAGTAACTTTTTGAATGATAACAGTGTGAATTTTTAATAATAACAATGTAAATTTTGGATAATACCAGTGTGAATTTTGGCTAGTTACACTATGTCATTACTAATACCATTGTTATTAGAAGGTATTACTGTGACATTTTAACTTATAATATGATAACATTGATTGGCAGGATGGTGTCATTGACAAATGAAGAGATTTAAATGATAGAGGAATAGGTATGGAATAAATGTTTGAATAAACAATTGTTTAATTACAGATGAATAAGTAATTTAAAAAAAATATAACATAAAATTAAGAAACTGAATCTCTATAAAGCTACCATACTTGTCTCCTATTAATAAAAGGAAAAGGCAATTTAATAAAAGAAAAAATTACAATTCAACAAAAATATATCTCTTCACCAAACATTTATACATAAATATACTTATACACATGTTTTATATTGAGTTATTTTTACACAAATAAATATAAAATGGTATACCTTTTCGCAATTTTCCCAAAAAAAAAAAAAAACAAGCCTCATGCTCAAACAAAAGAGAATCCAATTGACAAACTCAGTTGTTGAAAAGTTCCCATTTCTACAATCAATTGAACTTTCCAAGTTCTTACTTAACACATTCGACTGGAACACCAAGTGCCTCCTGTAATGACAGGATTGAATGTTGAAGCCACGATTAAGAAGCAATTATAAAAGAGAATTGTAATTAGTGAGAACTTACATTTTCCCCTCAAATTTGGTCTAATCCTCTTCATAAGAGGAGCAGGAAACTTTCAGAAAGTTTGGTGTATCAGTGGAGCTCCACTTTGGCTGCAAGACAAATATATATACATATAGGTGAAACAATAGAAACTTTTTCAAAGACCCTTTATTGATTAAAAATTACAGTTCATTCTTACTCCATCCTGAAATTTAGATAAGAAGAAAAAAAACTGGTCAGGATGAAAAGTAGAACTATCAGCTTTTCCAAATAAAAACTAAGGAATTTCTCCCCAAATTAAGCTAATGCATGCAGTTATCTGACGCAGACATGCAAGTTCAATTTGTGGAATAAATGTATGAACAATAAAGAAAAAGGTTCAGAAGGTTCGATCCGAATTTATGTATAACTCTTGGTAGAGGCATCTAACTCTATTTACCCAGATTTGCCTCACAACAAAAATATAACTTAAAATGTTGTGCACTTACCAAAAAATCCCTTATGATGATATGTAACTCGTCTCAAAGTTTTTGCTGAGCCAGTCATGATATCAAGAATTCAAGATTAATTCACAGTGAAAATATCAACTAAGCACCAAGTAAATACCTATTCACATCAAATAATGGAAAAAAACCTCAACAAGGCCTTCGCAAAAATATCACAAATCAAATGCTCAACGCTGCAAAACCGAAAAGATTGGAAGATGGCTAGAAGCCAAGAATGGAGCTGGCACAGTCTCGCTTAACCACCATTAGAAAAATATGATATTGACTTTGCACACTTTGAGTCAGAAAAGAAGAGCAAGTAATTTCCTGCAAGGCAAACGCTCTTTCCCACCATTGTCCCTGCAGATTCTTCTAATCCTGTCTGGATCAGGAACCCAAGAAATGATCCATCTCAGTTCTTTACCTTTCTAAATTCTAATCCTAGTGTTTCTGGGGTAGCACACATTGGGTCCGAATTGTGGGTGAATACCCATGACATCCTGCTTCAGCAAAAGGCAATACAACTACACAAATTCCACATAGATCCCCTTCAAAGTTTCCGTGTAGCATAAGATGGAGGAACTAAGCAACTACAGGTTTTTTCTTGCATCACATCAGAACTTCAAATAAAAAGTTTTACCCTTCTCTAGTAATTGAACTCTAAACAATTATATTCTCAGTCATCCTTTCCAAAGCAGAATCCATTTCCATTTATTTGACCTGAGTAGGAGAATAATTGACCTGTGAAGTTGCTGTAGACTAATAAATGGCACTTATACCTAGACAAGCAAATTAAGTTAAGTTCAGCAAGCATGTTTTTCCCTCAACTGCAAGATAATCCGACTCATAACCACTCAACCTCGGTCTAATGGAACCATTTTACCTAATAGGACCATAACTAGACAAGGATATTTTAAGTGAAAGCAATTAAAAATTATGCTGCAATCAGGTCATCCATTTTCCCTCGATCTTTTAGTTTTACAAGCTATAAGGACCAGTTATTCTAGGAGGGAAATGAAATGCTAAAAACATAAATTTAAGAAAACACCTGTTTCTGAAAACAAGTTCAAATTGAACATAGGCCTCATTTAATTTGAAAAAAGTTTGGCCATGTCATTGCAAAGTACTATCATCCCAAACATGCAAAAATTAAGCCAGCAAGAAAAGGGAAGGCTGGTAAATGTGGTCCCTGGAGATGCGCAAAAGAGGGTGGACAAAAATTGGTGTCCTGGTTCGTGTTTTAGGGCTACAAAATTATTGAAATAGTAAGTGGTATTTGAAGGTTTCATTTGGTTGTAGTACCACGGATTACTAGGAGACCAGTGAAAAAGGTATGGTACTTGACATATTCTCTGTACCAAAGTCAGCTGGGTTTGATACATGAAAAAACAACTCAGATGAACAGAATTTTATGCCCAAGATATCTATCATCTATGCAATGGAAAATCCATGTTCTTGTGAAGCATTATTCTGCTAGACGAAATTCCACTCGTGTAAGATGATATCCAGAGATATAACATATGTTCTGCCTGATGTCAATAAATTAAAAGTTATCTCGTCGAAAATTTCATGTAAAGTTGGTACAAGACGATTGCACTATTTAGCTATAAGAAACTATATCTAAAGTGCTTCACCTGAGTTGTTTAACCCATGGAGTTTGAGTTTGCTATCTTCTAAAGCACGGAGAAAATGATTCATAGTCAACTTGACATTTGTCCCATTTAGTCATTGAATCTAGATCCAAAAGTTCAACATTAGCATACTGAGTGTGAATGTGTGACAAGGGATGTCCACCATATCCACCGGTCCTGCGAGCTGTATGAGGAACAGAGACGTTATATATATTGATCAATGATGGACAATTTTCGTTAGTGAACAAGGATTTGGACAACAAAATTTCCAACTTATGACATACCAATTTTTTTGCAGATCAACATCTTAAGAGAAGCTAGTTTCCATTTCTTTGGGCAAACCTTCAAATTTTGTTTTGGCCCTTGCACATCAGAATAGTCTATCTTGATATGGAGTTCCATTCTACCGTCCCAAAAAAAAATAAAAACAAACAAAATTAAAGCAAGATAGGAGCATTTTCCATCTTTTTGGGTGTTTGTGTTTGTTATGTTTAGAGGAGGGGTTGGTGGGGAATTATCAACAGTTGTTATGAACCAAGTCATTGATTATTTATAAAGAACATAACTATGTTAATTATTTGTTTAGGTAGTGCTTGAAGAAAAGGCAACATGCATATATGTTAAGTGAGGAGTACAACTAAATTTATTAGACTTTTAAGTATTAATTTCAAAGCAACTATGTTTGTGTAGGATCATAATTAAGTACAGTTCCAAATTTGGATATAGATAATCAATTATGATTCTTAGTTTTTAAGCAAAGTTTTCAAAATTAGGATCCTACTTTGGATGTGAAAGGCTAAAGGATCCAAATTGTAAGATTAGATAGAGAATCATATGATCCTACGAAATGAAAAGTGGCACTAAAATTATATGTATGAATACTAAATTCTTAAAAGAAAAACAAAACAAAATAAACCTAGTATATAGTCAACACATATAGAACTTAGAGATATGATTAAAATTTGAGCAACTACAATCTGACTATTAAAGAGCATTAAAAATCAAAGATGAATTGTCAATATTGTGGGATTTTGTAACGAGTAATAGGAGAATTTTAGTGTTTTAGTCTTAGTATTTAGAGAGAGATGGGGATAGAGGGGGGATTGAGAAAGTCGAGAGACTGTTGAATCAACAACTGACTATTCGAGTCTAATAAAAAAGATGATAATAATAATGGAAGACATATCTAGTTATGATCACTAGTCGAGAGAGAAGAGAACAGACCTAACTGTTGATTAACGAGGGAGACAAACGAATGATGAGCCTTTTGTATAACAAAAAAATCTTTTTTGCAAGCTTTCTCACCAAATGAAATTCCACAATAGACTAATAAGAGTATGGGACAATCACTTATGGGCCTAGTCTGTAGCCATTAAAGCAATAAATAAGGATTGGGACATGTCAATAAAGACAATAACTAAAGTTGCCTAATCTACAAATCGAACAACTTGGATCAATAAAATCATAATTGGGATGAGGATCCTACGATCCTACAAGATCCACATCTCAGTCTGTTAAGACTCAATGACCGGGGATTTTCAAGAGACCCGAACAGATTTGCCCATATTTGATGGTGGAATTGTAGGATCCTATAATGCAAATCGGTAGTTTGAAAATTTTGTTTTTAAGTCAATTTTGTCTTTTCCAATGAACCAAAAACTATATCAATCTGGTACCTATACAAACCATAAGGTTAAAATGAAGTGTGTAGAAGCAGACAACAATATTCTTGATTAAGCACAGAGAAGCAAATGGCAAACACTATCTACAATATCCGATAATAATCACATATCTACATTCTGTAGAAGAAAACAGTAAACTTGCAATAAGAATCATGTAACCAAAATTGGTCACAAGAAGTTCGATGAAAAGGAATAAACAAATAGAAATTTTATTTAGCAATGTAAAAGAAGAGAAGTCGTACCTAATTACAGTGTACATATAGCACAAAATAAAAATAACACGGGGGCAAGCTTTTTGCCAGCATAAATAAGGGCAGAATTCTTCAATAGTCCACTATCTTGTCCTTATAGATTTCTAATTTCTATTAAAAACAATATTTACTTTCTCCTTTTATTCCCATAGTCATTTTCATGTGTGGATGTGCATAGAAACACATACATCAAGCCTTAGCCACGAAACCTAACCAGTGTCCTCATTGTAGCAATAAATGACTATCATTATACATAGAGGAAAAATATAATAGTATTTTGTGCATTATGGAGCAAAATGAACAAAAACATTTTTAGAAATGAGTTCAAAGATGCAGGCACAATTCAAAAAGAACTTGCAATACAACCATAACAGAATTGCATCACGGAAGCTCAAAGGCAATGCCTTTCAATTACAATAGGACTCTGATTCAAGATTGGAAGTTGCCACACTCTTGCTTCTGTACACAAAGTAATGACCATAAGTTGGTTTGTTCTCCTGCTCAGTTTTGTTCTACAATGTTCCTATATCGCATGAATCTGTTAAAAAAAAACACCAACCCAAATGCAGTTATCTATGAAGGTCTAAGAGCATGCAATGACCAGCTATTGGAACTGGAGGCACCTCAAAATCAGGGCTCCAATGCACAAGAGCAAACAAATGTTACAGAAGTTTGGAGCCCTCCAAATAGAAACAGACTCAAATTCAACTGTGATGGAGCCTATAAGCAAAATCAAAATACAGCTTTAGTAGGATTCCTCATTAGAGATCATAAAGGGGTAGTGGAAGAAAGAACAAAATCTATCCCTGCATTATCTAGCTTACACCCTGAAGCACTATCAATCCGCGAAGCATTTCTGATGGCAGTTGCAGGAAAAAGAAGCAACTGTGGAAGGTGATATCATAGAGATGATCCTGTTGAGCTCGACTGAGTTGGTGCCCGTGTGGGAATTGGCAGCTGTGGTAGAAGATATCAGAGTTATTTCCAGAATCTTAAACCTGTCCTTCAAACACATCCCTAGATCTATACAAGCCTGCACACTGGTTAGCAGCAAATCACTCGAGACACAATCTCCCTACAAATTGGGTTGCTTGCCCACCTAGTGAGTTAGGATATCTCTTATTATCCGATTGTAACTACGTTCCTATTCTATGAATAGGAATTATCAATTTTCAAAAAAATGAACAAGCAACCACTGATTGCATAGACCACAGCAGGAGAGAGAATAACTTTGATATAAAGAATGGAGACCAATAGAGAAGATTTTGCTCAAAACACCTCAAAATTGTTAAAATAAACAACTACAAAAGCAGATCTAGCCAAATAGAACAAATTATATGGCATAAACAGAAAAAAGAAAGCCCAATGAAAATAGAGCTAAAAATTAACAACCAGACGAACAGGTAGCACTAAATGGACAACGGACCACAGACCACTTGCTGCGAGTGCGAGAAAGATAAAGTGAATTCTGGGTGAGGGACGCTATGTAGAAATCGTGAGACAGCGATAGAGATTTTTGGGGTAGAACTCATGGGGTTTTTCTAGAAGGTAGCTTAGTAGCTTACCCACCCCAGTCTATGCGAACTTTCCGGTTCACACGGGTTGGATCAAAATCGGCCGAGTTAATATCCATTTGACAAGTTTGATGTATAAACGCTCCAAATATCAATTCAACCCGGTCCCAGCCAGGCCAGGTTTCTTTACTGACTCTCGCTCTCTCTCTGCCGAGCTCAGTATACAGGAAAACTTCCATTTCAACCATTCAACGATACACAAATACATCCACTACACACTACCAACGTCATTTTTGTATCCAAACACTACACACAATTCCTTCAAACACAATACACACTACACACACAATAGCAACTTTTTGATTAAAGGTTATCGGAGGGTGACGACCAGTATATCGTTCACAGCTAAGTCCTCAACATCTCCGACAGAGATGAAACCCAAGTTATTGTATGCGCTGTCGTTAGTGATAAAAGTGATTCTCATCACCAACCAAGAACCATCCATTGCAAATGTAAGCAATACTATTCTATTCTAATGTTAAAAAGTCACACCATTCAATTTGTTTTTATGGCTCCTAGACCCATTTGTTTTTGAAACCATTCTCCACTCCCAATACACCGACGTCCTACAGGACGCAGCACATTACTGCAAAGAGGTACAACGAGTTCGCATTACTAGAGTCGTACTGTAGGAGAAATTTTTCGTTGTGTATAATACACCACATGTTAATGTGCGTACATCATAGATTATATCGACAATGTTTCGCATCGATGACAAATTATCTTAAATTAAATTAATGAAACAGAATCGAATAAATTATGGAAATTAAGACTGACAACAAAGACTACTACAACAGATCTAATCAAGTAAAGAAAGGTAAAAGATCTTACCTACTTTCCTATTCCTCCCATACCAATAAAACTTCATTTTCAAGAAACAAGCCTACATTTAGAGAGAAATAAATATTTAATCTCATGCTGAAACACAAATTAGAACAACCATAAAATATAGTTGCTAATCAACTAACATATAAACTTCAAGAGATGATTTATTTCATAACCTGGTGACTGAGGGGGCATAACTTCAACTGTGTTGTGTTGTAGTCTTTGAATCAAAAACAGAACCCTATCTCACAACCACGAACCTTTGATGTCTAGGAATTTCGAAGCAATTGATTCTGGTACCAGTGAAAAAACTGAGTCCGGAGAAAGAAGATTTTTTAGGGAGCAAGAAAAAGGAACTACAATGTATAGAGAAAGAGATGGGATTAGAAACTGAACTACAATATGCAGAATGCCTTATCTCATGTCAAAGATATAAATTGTGGCAGATACTAATTCATTAGAAAAAATATTGATTATGCACACCTACCACTCACACCAACCACTCACGTGCAGCTCTACACTCCCTCTCAGCAGATATTAGAGAGGCAGAGAGAGGGGGGACCTGGACAACCTTTGATACATCTTTTGCACAATTCAAAGCAATCTAAACTCAAATGAATAAGCATCAAATGTCAACCCTAAAAATCTCTTTCATAAAAAACTTAACATAGATTCAATCAAAACGCTAATAACCTTAACACACAATCTTCATTAACACATTATCTCAATCAAAATAACTTTTTTAAATACATTCAATCAAAACCATACAAACCTCTTTCAAAAAACAAAATTTCATATTTCAAAAACCATATTTCATGAAAGGAAAACCAATTTAAAAACCCTAACATTCAATTTCTTACTAAATAATTTTCAATTACTTTCAAAAAAATTCAACAACTAAAATTAGCCTACAAATTTCATAAAATGAACATTCAACATCCATCCAATGCAATTAACAAAAACCCTAACATTCAAAAACACTAAAAATCTTATTGAATGAACTTATCACATAACCTTCAATTGACACACAATCTTACCCTAAAAAACCATAACATACATCAAATCAAGACCCTATAAACATATCTCATATCGATTAATACACAATCTTTGAAATTATGAAAGTAAAATCAATTAACACAGAATCTTAATCTCAATAACCCTAACATTCATCAAATCAAGACCTCATAAACCTATTTCGTTCTAATTGACACACAATCTCTAAAATTATGGAAGGAAAATAAATTAATACACAATCTTAATCTAAATAGCTCTAACATTCATCCAATCAAGACACTATAAACCTATTTCATAATTTTTTTAAAAAAAAAACCAAATTGAAATTTCACAATCTCTATTCAACACCCAATTTGAAAACCCTAACATTCAAAAACCCAACTTAATTTGCGTGTGTGCGTGCTGCTGTGGGGTGTGTGTGTGTGTGTGTGCGTTATCTGTCTGCGTGTGTTGTGAGTTTCTGCGTGATCTGTGAGTGTTATTTTGTGGGTTTGTTTGTGTGTGTGTGTGTGGTTGGTGTGAAGAAAGAGAGGGAGAGAGGGTAGCTAACCTGTGGTGTGTGGTCGTCGCCGGTGAGCCAAGGCAGATATTCCAGGGAGTATGGAGAGAGAGAGGGAAGTCGCTGGGTGTGGAGAGATAAAAAAGTCGCAGGGAGACAGAAAGACGGGACAGGGAGAGTAAGAGAGAGGCTCTGACAGTGTATTAGGGGACGTGCAAGTGGTTTTAGTTTTGGGCGGGATTTGTTTTTGGTTTGGGATGAATTGTGGGCGGGGCTATTAGGGTCCATGTTGAATTTGAGTCGAGTTTGAAAATTTTATTTCTCAATTAAATTTTAAAAATTGTTCAAATTCGACTCGTGTGAAAAACGAGTCGAGTTTAAGCGAACCAAATTCAAGTCGAGCTCGAGCCGAACTCGAGTATTTGCACATAGACGAATCGAACTTGTAAGACTTATTTTTTAAACGAGTCTAAAAATTTGTTTAAATTTAGACTCGTTTAAAAAAAAAACCAAGTCTATCCGAAACCGAACTCAAGTCAAACTCAAGTAACTCAGTTTGATAACGGTCTTAATTGTGTACCCATGATTTGTTTCTTGTTGGGATGAATCGTTGGATTAAAAGTGAATGAATTTATGAGTTATTGGATTAAATTAGAAGAAATATAAATCGTTAAAATTAAAATAGATTAAATTTAGACCGCCTTTGTGGTAAGTTAATTTTAGAAATTTAAAAATTACTCTATCCTATTATTATAGACTATACATTCTGAATATATGACTGTCATTTATCATTTTATTCAAATTTTTAATAAAAAAATATATTTTATGTCTCACAAGCTAATATTGTGGCAAATGAGAATTGGGCGCCGAAAATTTTTTCCAACTGTCAACCCTTTTAATTTTTAAGAATTAAATTTTCTATGTGAATGAATAAACCCATTTGCTTTAAACTTTCATGGAAACACATGCAAAACAACAAAAAAAAAAACTGTAAAGATAACAATCTCCTACTCATTTTCTATTTTTCTTTTTCCCAATGATATAAGATTCATGTACCCATTATTGGCCATTAAATTTTTTTTTTTCCATTTTTTGCCAGTTTAGGATTTGCCCACATTTAGATAATAACATGATCCAAGCTTAGATATTGTCATACAATCAGATTGGATGTGAAAATTCTTAACATGATTGGTTAAATTTAAAGTGAAGATATAAGATATTTGTTAGTGTTATAGTATTTGGGTCATAAGCGAGTTAACCCGTCAAACTTTGTTGATAAATGAATTGATACAAATTTAATTGTATATAACACTAATTTAATTAAACATGATTTATGTTTATATACGATACACTCAATTTTATATTCTTCTCATACAATACCAACTTCAAGTTAAAAGTTATTATTAAAAGATATAGTAGAGACACAATCAACATATCATTCAATGTTTACCATAGAGTGCTTCTTGGATCCAATAAAAGTCCTTAAGTTGGATATCATGACAACAAAGTCGACAATATCTTCTACAGAATTGAGACCAAAATTTGTATAGGCTCTTTCTTCATTGAGAACAATGACTCTCATTCTTTTTCCCATGCAAGAATAATGATTGTGAGTGTGGAGTGAGAGATACAAGCTAGCTAGGGAAAGAAGATAAAAACAGTAATACTAGTCTAGGGTTGATGTTAAAAATATTGTGGAAGACAGGAAGCTATCTCACTTAAGTCTCAGACTATTGTTGTTAATTTATAACTCCAAGGACAAAAATATCATTGTATTCCACACCATTCTTCTTCCCATCCTTACTTTTTAGAAGGGTATGTTTGTCATTTCATTTGGTAATGGAGGCACCTCCCTCCCTCCACTGCACTGCACCATCTCATATGAGTAAATATATATCCTGCTGCAATTTCTACTACAACTTTGGCACTTTTTTTTACAGTTGTGAAGATTTATTGGAAACCAGGTAAAGCCACCACCTTAAATCACTTCTATTCTCTTAAGAAGTACTTTTTGGATCTCATAGTTGTCCGAAACGCTATCTTAGTCACTACAAACATTATCCAACTGAGTATAAAGCTATCGAACCAAAAAATGCACAAATAAATGTTGTCTAGAGCAGTTACCAAAGCTAAAATAAATCACTGCATTGTCTGCAAAAATTTATACTCTACTTTATGTATTTTTTATCAACCTTAAAACGATATAAATATTCAATCCTACTTCTTATTTCAGCTTTGACTATTTGATCCATTTTGTTGAATTTTCTAAAGAAACTCAATTCAACCAAGACCCGCATGAATTCTTTCATTTGTCCTACACCAGAGCCCCAATGCTGAAACATCTGTAGTTTATAAACGTGACTAAATAGTAATGGCAACAAATTTTCTAAACATCAAAAAATTAGATACAACAAAATTTCATGGCCACTTAAAAGGTGAAAGTATTACCACATTAGGAATTAGCCAGCTCATGGCTTGGGTTCAAATGATATCAAAGAAGACAGCAAAAATCCCCGCATGAACATTAGCCATTGACAAATTTGTGCAGGTGCTTACTATCTCAAACTATGATTCCTTTGCAATTAAAATGGAGATGAATTTCATAATATTCTGCAATCTCTACACATGTTAATACTCTTAATAATCCGCATAGGGACAGCATTTGGAGTGTTCAACAACCCAAGAGCCTGATGAACAGTGGATAAAATTATTTCTACATTCTCCTCATCCATTGCCTCTAAACTTCCTTGTGGTTCATATCCAAGAGTCCTTGTTTTCTCAAGCAAATTCCCCAATAATCTGTCCACCCTTTTGCATTGTGGATGCAACCGTTCATCATGATTTAAATGAATAAACCTCATCTCTAATGCTAATCCAGCTCCAATCCTTTAATTTTCCGAGTTTTTCCCCTCATCATTTTTTTCTAGCCCTTGAAAAATCGTGGCATCCATCTCCCTGCCAAGTGGTACATGTTTAACAACAATAGATAAGTCTCATAGCCTTTTGGATTAAGACCGAGTAATCATTCAGCAGCATACAATCCTAACTCTGAATTCCCATGACTCCGACAACCTGCAATGAAGGTTTGCACAAATAAACTTAATGGGCTCAAAATTCATCTTCTGGATGAAATTAAAAGCTTCATCTAATCGGCCTAACACAAATGATGAAATGAACATATCAACCAGACACAAATAATGATCAATCACCAGCTTGATTCTATATTCCTTTTTCATCATCTCAAAATAAAGTCAATCCCTATCAATCATCCCATCATCGGTACAAGCTGAAAGAACACCTACAGAGGTAATCTCGTTTGGTCTAACTCCTGCTAATCTCTTGAACAAAATACAATATATGTATTCATTAAAATCACATTTACACTGGGGCCCACTGAACTAGTCCAAGGTGACCCTGGGCTTGCACAAAACACAAACCCCTAGCTTCAGTTTAGTGCAGCCCAAATACTCACAAGAACACAGAGCGCAACCCAGATTTCAGATACACATCGCACAAGCACTTACCAACAATAATGTCTGGGGTAGAAAGATTGAGCACATTTCCCAACGAAATGCCTACTAAAAGTACCTTCTAATAGCAATGCAAAACTTGTAAATTCAATCTTGTTTGCCAAGTTTATAGATGCATGTTGATGTTTAGAATTCTCAACCACCAATTCGAGTTTACAAATACATTTTGATAAAGTTATGCGACATGACATGCCTAGCAAAACATGAAATACAAGAAAAAAAAAAAACAAACAAGCCTCATACAAGGAAAAAAGAGAATCCAATTGACATAGCTCAGTTGTTGAAAAGTTCTCATTTCTAGAATCAGTTGAACTTCCCAAGTTCCTGCTTAATGCATTCGACAGCAAAACCAAGTGCCTCCTATAATGACACGATTAAATGTTAAAGCCTCGATTAAGAAATAGTTTTGAGAGATGATAGTACTTATTGAAGACTTACGATTTTCTCCTCAAGTTTGGCCTTATCCTTGTCAAAAGAAGCAAAGTCTGCCTGTTGATGTGCCTCCTGTAATGACAGGATTAAAGGTTACAACCTCGATTATGAGGCAATTACGAGAGAATATTGTAATTGGTGAGAACTTACAATTTTCTCAAATTTGGCATTTTGCTTTTCATAAGAATGCCGAAGTGACTCCTGCAATGACATGTTTAAATGTTAAAGCTCGGTTGTGAAGCAATTAGGAGAGATCATTGTAATTAGTAAGAACTTACGATTTTCATTTCAAATTCGGCCTTGTCCTTCAAAAGATTCTCCTGTAATGAAATGAATAAATGTTGAAGCTCGGATAAGAAGCAATTATGAGAGATGATCGTACAATGACATGATTAAATGTTCAAGCCACGATTAGGAAGCAATTATAAAAGATGATCATAATTAGTAAGGACTTACAATTTTCTTCTCAAATTTGGCCTTATCCTCTTCATAAGAAGAGTGGGCAACCTTCAAAAATTCTGGTATATCAGTGGAGCTTAACTGCGGCTGCAAAAACGAAAAGAAATACATGTAAGTGAAATAAGGAAATTAGAAACTCTTTTTCAAAGACCCTTTACTGATTTAAGATAAGAAAGAACTCATTACCGTTTGTTTTTCCTCAATCCTGAAATTTAGATAAGATAATAAAACTGGTTAGGATGAAAAGTAGAACCACCATTGCCTTTTCCAAACAAAAATTACGGGATTTATCTCCCAAAATGAAGCTAATGCATGCAGTTATCTCAAGCAGATATGCAAGTTTAGTATGTAGAATAAATGTGTGAATAATTGTTGGAGTTATAGTTTAGTTTATTAGAGTTCCTTTTTCCTTTTTTACCCATATTATAACTTTTATATTTTGTCTAGACCACAAGAATATTTAGGTCATTTTATACTATTATTTGAATATATATACGGGGCTCTACTCTTAATTTGGGTATCATTTTTCACATATTTCAAATTGGTATCAGAGCCAAAACCCTAGCCTCCATCTCTAACCCTAACCCTAACCCTAATCTTAACCCTAGCTTCATCACCTTCCCTGCGGCCACCACACCACGCTCCTAGCGACAGCCACCAGACCAGACCAACTTCAGCAGTCCATCTTCAGTAGGCCAATCCACGGCTAGCAGACCAAGACCATCTTCAGCGACAGCCGCCAGCCAAACCCAATAACCAACCTCAAAACATCATCCCAAGCAACTCAGCCGACGACATAACTCAGCAAAACCAACCAACCCAGCAACTCCCACTCCACCGACAGCTGCCAATGAACCCCTGCCCCACTGCCCAGCCAACCCAGCAACTCAGCCACAGCGAAATTAACCCAATAACCAAACCAAGTCAACCCAATAAACCAACAGCTCACTCCACCGATAACACAATAGCGACTGCCCAACCCAGTACCGAAATTGACCTAGCGACCCAACTGCCCGCCTTCGTGCTTTGCGCTCTTCGTCGTAGTGTCGTCATCTCTGCGCGTCACAGTTTTCTTTTTCCTAGGGTTACAGCAATTAAGAATTTTTAAGAGGGGTTGAATCCTCTTCTCCATTGATCTGCTCTTGATGCAGTAGATCACTTATATATTTACTCAATTTCTGGACACCGTGACTTGATTATTTGAGAGCTTTTTGGACCTTATTTATCTGTCGCTACTGTTCAACTGGAGGTATATTATTATCCCTTATGTTGTCCCTCTATTTATCTTAGAGTATTTTTCTGCCACAGGTGCTCACGTATTGTTGTTGATATGATTACTACTGAAGGACTTGAGACTCCCACCAGTGAGACCTCTACTGTTGAGACCCCTGTTGTTAGTATTTTCATTTGAAATGTACTGTCTAGTTCTCCACTGTTATATTTGACCAATATACAGTACCTACTAGCACAGTTGCATTACCGGCAATACCAGGTACGATATCTCAGAAGGTTACAACACAACTATTGAATGGTTGTAACTTTACTAAGTGGTCACGCTCACTCCAGATTTTCTTAGGCCGTGCAAGTATACTTGGTTGACTAACGGGATCTCACCAAAGCCGACTAATGATGACCCTGGATATTCTGCATAGTTCTCTAAGAACTGTGCTATTCTTGGATGGTTATTTGCTCGATGAAGCCATCTGTTTGGCAAGATTCATTAGTTTCATAATTCTATTCCAAAGCTATGAAGTGTATTATCAGAAATGTATTCCCA